CCCCAAAACCCCAAAACCCCAAAACCCCGCTTTGCCAATGTAAGATAATTTTTAGCTTCAGTAAAAGTACTAAGTAAAATTAAACTAATTATTATTCGAAATTATCTATATTAGACTCATCGATGAGATTCTATACTGATACTTAAATATTCATTGATGTGTTAATTATACTTTGAAAAGACTGCCTCCTGCTTTGAAGATCATCCCATCATATATCCTCTCTTCTTCGCCAGCAAATAACCAGGTGCCATTTGTACTTGCCTTAGAACCATTTCCATCTTTGAGAATCCATTTATCATCTATATAGTCTATTCTTGATTGTATCCTGCTTAGATTGCCCTCTTTAAAGCAGATTTTACATTCATGACTTCGTCCTATCAGAATTGGAACTTCCTCTTACTTAAATGAACTATAATGCAATGAAATACTTATATCTTACTAAGTCTCTTTTGTTTTAGGACCTTCGATGAACTAAACCATTAATTGAGTAATTAATGTTCTCTCTTAGAATCTTTTAGCTGACAATTACATCAAACTACTCGCAGATATCAAACCTGAATCGGCGTTATCTTTTTCTTTCCTTTCTAAGACAAGACCAACAACCATATGAGAATCACCAAATGAAACAATGTGGCCATTTCGCAGTATGAATTACTGATCAACCTTAATAAATGTTCCTGTTCCATCACCCATATCTTTAATGTAGTAACCGTTTTTTTCCACACTAAAAGCAATCATAAAATGTCTTTTCCCAAAACTTTCAGTTTATGGCAACACATAATCGTTCAGCTTTGCTGTTTCAAGTACATCATTTTAAGTTAAAGTACTCATATCATATGATCCGAAATATGTCGTGAAATCTCTGCAGCCATAAGTGCTAGAAAAATCTCCTAACATTTTTTCTTCTTCATCCTGATACTGATACTAAGTTCTAAGATATTACAATCTTTAAGAATTATTATTTATTATCCCATATGGATTAATCTCAATCTGCGAAGATTGTGGAATAGCATTACCTTCCAAAACCTTTAGAATAAGCTAAGGTGCTCTTTTTATTATCATATCAGTATTTTTGCTTGCTCAATTAGTTTAGGATTCAAGAATATGATAGTTTAAAGGTGCTGAATTTTATTTATGACTGAGAGGTTCAACCTGGATACCCAACGTACTATTTATGCTTTTGCCAGTGTTCATAGAATTTGGACTTCTATCCCTATTTTCTCAATTTTGAGAAGTAATGGGGGCACCAATTATTTGCTATATATATATTAAACTTCAATTTTTTACAGGAATTTAAATAGGTTGCTGCTATGCAGATGCTGGCGTTTCCTATTTCGATTAAGATGGAACAGTTGAATCATTCATTTTATGCTAATCATTTTTTTCATCTTGATTTGAGTGCTTCTAATAAGTTGTTATATTCAAAGATAATTTCTACATCTTAAGAAGAATACCCTCCTTATGTCTGGTCATTTTAATTTACTTAAAGTGCTGAAATATCTAAGAAAGATGTATTATTTTACTGAGTTTCTTTTAGTCTTTCTTATGATGTCCTTCGCGATCTCTTGATTTACTCTATTTTTTGTCTTTTTTCTTGGATTTGCTTGATTTTTTTTAAGAACTCTTTTTCTAAATAGCCATGATGATCAGTTGATTTAAAATTACTTTAATTTGATCATTCTTAGCAGGATCCCAATCTGCAGAAGGGTCTTTATTTGATGAGGAGCAACAACTCTACACAAATTATAAAGTGAGTGAATAATATTTTTACGAATAGCCCTTTTATCATTTTTAAGATTATTATATATATTTTAAATTCATTAGAATGAATTTAGCGTTATCAGCTGATGATCATTTGGGCTAGCCTTCTTCGTCTCCCTATAGTAAGAAAAGATCAAACTAAGAGGAAATAGAACTTCAGAAATTTGAAAGAAAAAACTAGGAGCCCTAGTTTCCCATAACTTTGGAAGATGAGTAGCAGGAGCAGCACATGCGGAGGAAGATGCAAATCATGATTGAAGCCAACTCTGTAAAAGTTGATGATGAAATCTCATCAAGAAGGTTAGATGAAGACTAAGTAAAGCATTAAAGATTAAGTATCGTCTCTGATTCAAGTACAGAGAATAATTCTGACCTTCCTTTCATGAAAGAATATGTAATATCCAAAAATATAGAGTTTATTCTTATAATTTTAGAGTGTAAGAAATCAAACCATCCTAAGAGTTGTATTCTCTTGTTGTTTCCTTTTGCTACTTTTCTATTCAATGTTCAATGTTGAAAGGGTAGATGTTATAACAAGGGATGAGTGTATGAGAGACTATAGCTTCAAGGTAACAGAGACTATAAATAAATACTTGATTGATAACCTTGATATAAAAAACAGATACATAATCTTCTGTTCATTTATGATGGATCTCATGATTATAATCCTTATGGCTTTATTCTACTTATACTGGAAAACATATCGTTTGATGTTTGCTTACATCTTGTTTTTTGTTTGCAGAGCCATTTTATAGGTAAATTGCAATATTTTGGTATAAATCTATTTAGAAAAACTTCTTTATGACAAGACTTGAAGGCTTTACTTTCTTCGACCCCGGTATGTATTCAATAACAGTACCTTATCATGATGTGAATGATTTCTTTTACTCTGGACATGTGGGAACATGCATGCTTGTTTATTTAGAATTCAGATCGGCCAAGTACTATAATCTATCTAGATTAATTATGTTCATCTTAATAAATGAATGGCTTATGCTATGCTTCGTCCGTACTCATTACATCATCGATTTAGTCACAGGCGTCATTTTCGCTCACTATATGTTTCAAGCCTCAGAAAAAATAAGTTTTATTTTCGATCAAGTTCTGATTCGTATACCTGCCAAAAAGCGCTTTAGAGAATACTATAAGCCATGCAAATGCTGTGGATGGGGTAATATGTATGCTGGAGATTTTATTGATTCAAAAGAACAAAAGATTCTCAAAGTTTTGAATTCTGATTCAAGAAAATCAGATTTTCTTATCCACAAAGGCAAAAGTTTGAGTTCGAATGAGATTGAGCAGAATAACTTTGAAATAGGAAAAGAAAAATCAATTAAGAATAATAAATTAGGCGACTATTATGTGGGACCTAACATGAACAATTAGTACTAAAACCACGGTAACAACAATAAAATCGATAAAGTAGGCAAGTATGCAAAACAGCTTGATGATATTTGAGTTAGTTAAATAGTTAGCTGGTCAAGTATATTCTCAGAGTTGAAGATGATTAATTTTTGATTGATATGAATTTTGAATCACTTAAATAATCATCACTTGAACATAATTTTTAACAAATAAATTTTAAAGTATACTTCATTAAAAATAATGAAAGCTTAAGTATTATATTTATGTTCAAACAATAACCTCCATCTAGGTTAGAGAATTCTTCAATTTATTTTTCATAAGTCTACTTGTAATACCATTGTTTTAGAGATCAAGCATTTTTAAGTTCTTGTTTGTTTTCAAGATTCCAACCATTGTCTCCACGCATTTCTCTGTCAGCTTATTGGCTTGAATATTAACAAATTCGATTTGACTATCACAAAGCGCTTTTATTATGTGATTCACACCCTCATCACTTATCCTATTCTTGGACAAATTGAGAGACTTGATATGGCCGCTATTGCACTTGATACACTTGGCTAATTCGTTTACATGCATATCTGACAGGTCTGCAAAATTGAATTAAAAAAAATATTAATTTACTTCTATTTGATAGATCTAGTATGCCACTTACTGTGTCTTCTTTAAATGATGATGCCAGATCGTTCTTCTTTTTAATGTTAAGGTTTTTAACTTCAGCAGGCTTTAGATTGCTCATTCTCTTTATCTTACTTATTGATTCTCTGGTAGAGATATCACATTAATTAACAGATTGAACAGACATTTGAAGGTCTGTTGAACTAGTGTTCGACAGGATAGTCTCATCTTATCTTTCTATAATTTAACGCTTCTCGATGAGATTCTTATTAGAGACACATCGAGATTAGTTAATTGGTGATGAGAGTTCATTAAAAGAAATATTCGACAGATTCAAGCCACTCTCTGTATTAACTGGCTAACTAATATTTTCTGTGACTTCTTCCTCGTCGTTGAAGCTAAATGCAGGAAGAAAAGATTAAGAAGCACTTGTAATATCTGCACTGCTATCAGTTTGGCTAGTTTACACCACTTTTGCTATGTTTATTAACTTCTTCTCGAAACTAGGATCAAACTAAAGTTTGATCTAGCTATAGTATTATTCCATTCCATTTAAGGATGGGAATCCCTTTTATTTCTCAGTTTTCTCAAGAACTTATTCACCGTTATTTAAAATCTCGTCAGCAATAGATTGCTATTTACCATCAATCATATCGAAAGGTATGTAATGAGGGTTCTAATGAGTCTTTACAGAGTAATCATCTAGCTGAAGCTTGGCTCGATCCATCCATTGCTAGACTTCTGCAATCATTAGCTTATTGATTTTATATGAGTGTTAAAATTTATCTTCGATCGAAGTAAAATTTGTGTATAAACTGTCAATGACCTACATCTCTACAGCTCTTAAGGCCTTACGCCATTCCTTAAACTAATCCTGAATCTTCTACTTAAGTTCATTTTGTTTAGCTTTGAATACATTATACTGCTTATCATAATTTTCAGGGTTGCCAAGATCATCACATTACTCTTCCATAGCCTAATACATCTCCATAAGTACTTCAACTTTCAATGATATTTCCTTTGTCACATCTTCTTCTTATCTAACATCATGACCTCTATGGTTTCCGAATAATGCACATTGAGCACAAATTCTCTATTTATCATCAACACATATCAATTCCATAGGTCTCTTATGCTATGGACAATTATCGAGACCATTGGAATGAGAAATTGGAGAATGTGATTGGTAAGCAGTAATGCTGTTATTGTTATGATGATGGTTGCTATTAACGTTTAAATTGGTCTAAATATCCAACTTTTAATTGTTTTATTAATCTTTAACAGTAGTTTAGCTCCTAGTTAGATATTTCGTCAGGCAAGCCTCTTGGTTATCCTTCGTCTAAAATTTTTATTCCTCTGCCATGAATTCTAGTTTGACAACTTTCTTATTTTTGAGTAATTCGCACTCCTAAAGATAAAATTTAATTCAGATAAGTTAAAATCGAAGGAAATTTGAAAGCGATAAATTTTGACCGATAATTTACCTTTGTTTTCTTAACAATTTTTAAAAGGGCGTAATTTTTAGGGAGTTAATCAGGGTTTTGGATAGAGCATTCAACACTATAATAAAGAAAGAGGTATTAGGATTGAAAATAATTACTCATCTTCGGGACATCTAAATATAACTTGTTTATGTTCTAGAAGCTTATCTCTACTGATATTATCTTATTAGTTGACCAACTCAGATTCATTTAGCTATTGCTATTGTTGAGCTTATTCATTTTCTTAGAGCAACTAAAAGTAGTCATGGATGCAGCTGAGGCAAAAAGAATGCCCACAGTCTGGTAGGAGTATTGGAATATGCTCATGCTCATCGTAAACTTGCTGGCAAAGTTGACACTTGATTTCATCGATGTCCATCTTAAAATAATTCTTAACTTTTCGAAAGTATATTTAAGTTTATTAAAATTTTATCATCTTTCCAACTTTATTTTTATTATAGACTAGAGGGGTTTTGGGGTTTTGGGG